AGACACTAAATATGCTAAGGGCTGAAGCCCTTGAAAGACATCTCTCTTTGCTTAATTAGACTCCAGTCATTTTGTTTGGTGATATGCTCACATCTTATGAACAAATGCATTATGTAAATTTTAAATGCATTATTTTTGCAAGACACATTTATAAAGGAATAAAGTAAAAGATTAAATAGCCTTTTTTTTAAGTAGCATACTTAAGATATGTTTCTGTTGAATACGAATCTCAGATTTCCGACATGTGTCCCCCCCAATAGTAAACATATTCCTACGCCCTTGATTATACCTTTCTAAGGGTCTTAAATGTCATGTGTGACGTGTGTTATCTTGTCATTACATGTGTATACATTTGTATAGATTTTTCTTTAATTAAAAACTAAATAGTTTTGGATTTATGACTCCTTGTCCTATTTTCATTACATGGGAGAGATCCCCTGCCCCGTTCAACAGGTTTTTTTTTTTTTATGTAACTAAGTAACTTTTTCTTAAAATACATTTTTAATTAGCTACGTATTACTTTTACTTGAGTAATTTTTTGATGGATAATTTTACTTGTACTTGAGTAATATTTCATCCAAGTATTGGTACTTTTACTTGAGTATGATATTTTAGTACTTTTTCCACCTCTGCTAGTTGCATGGAGGAGGATTTAAAAGTCCAAAGTTTGAATGCAGATATTAAGCTGACTAAATATTTCTACATGAAGCTGACAAGTTGGGCTGAGTTGTGACAATTTAACACATACCACGTTTTTTAAAGTCTCCCATGAGCGCTGTAGGTCATCCAAGTTTGCCACAGACTCAAATGTTGGGTCATATAACTCCTGAACTGGAGCTCTTGTGAGGGTTCCACGTCCAACCTACAGAAAACATTCAACTTTAGCCTTCATATGATAAACCTGCAAGGTAAAACAGTAACAATCCCAATTTTTTATTTATTTAACTAGTTGCATTTGTAGTTGGTATTAGGAAACATGAAAGAAATAAGAAAAGGAGGACAGAAACCTTGAGGATAGGGCCTTCAGTGTGAGAGACAGGAGAAGGAGAACGACATAAGGGAGAGGAGGAGACCTCGCTGTTGGTGCCTTCCTCCCCAGACTCCTCAGTAACAGGTGATAACAGAGTGTGACAACGACCAGCCGTCATCTTACAGACCATGCAGGAAATGACAGAAGACATGTGAGGTCATTTAGAAAATATCAGAATGTTTAATATAAAGAACTAAAACACCAGAAGTGCTGAACGGGCGAAAGGATTAACTTTGTATAAAAAAGCTCAATTTCCCTCCAACGCATATTTAGAAGAGAACTAAATATCTATTGTTTACTCTAAAAGTTACGTTTCAACTTCCAACACCCTTTGTGATCTGTGGTTTCCCCCCCAGGCGATGCTTATACCTTCTAACCTGACTCCGCCAGATGGATTTGCTC